CGAGCCACCTGCTGTCCACTGTCTGGAACTAATTACACTTTTCTCCCCCTGCAGCACCTGTGCGACTGTTTCACTTTTCACGTTTGTTCACTAAGAGGACCAAACAAACACCGGATGTTTCACTGTGTCCTCTTTGGATATTTCTATGATGTCCTGTGGAGAATGTGGAATCCCATAACTTTAACTTCGGAAATCCTTTGTGGACCTTACAAGGAGCAAGCTGAAAATCTCTCTCGCCCCCACCCACAAAATTCAGGGTGCTTAGTAAACATTTTACCCTCATAAAATTTTGCATAACCACTGCTCTAACAAATGCAATAAACTCTGTCATAGCTGATAGAAGCCAAGCCATATTTTTTTTCAGAGAGTCATATAGTCATTTAATAACAGCAGAATGTGTAAATGGTGAACGCCATAGAGCTGAAGGTATCATTTAAGATTTCACTGAGCTATTTTATGTGGTATGACAGCTACAATATGGATGGTTCCTTTTAAGTATATTTGAATCAGCAAAAAGCTTTAATTATTTGACAAAATGATATCATAAAGTATATATAGAAGCACATCAATAGAAAATCATATATATGTATATATATATGTATATATATACATGAATATATATTTCATTAAAAAGTATAATTTGGAACCTAACATGCCCTGAGCCTCTCTAGAAGGAATCACTCCATGTATGCACTCTGAAATAATAGAAAATAAGAAATTAAAAATCACTCCATGAGTAGACTGAGAGTTACTGAGTTTTCATCCTATTACAATAAAATGCCAACTTTAGAAAACAGAATTTCTGCTGAATTATTTTTGCTATTTCATTGCTTGCCATATTTTTTTTTAGCTTTGGGGGTTTTTATATCATGGTCCAAATAAGTCCAGCGGATTTGGCACCAATACAGTGAATCACCAAATAAGTGAACTGTGGTCTGTCTAGCAATGGGTTTCTGTGCTCTCTGTCCAAACTGGATTCAGAGCGCTGAGTCTCTGTGTCTTAAATCCTCTCTTTCTCAGCTGCATGCATGAACACACGTGAATTGTTTACTAAAGCTTTGGGGATGACTCAGAACTCCAGGTGAGATTAAAACCAAATCCCAGCTTAATACAAAATGTTTTAAAGTCAGTAACTTGGTAGAGGCTAAGCATAAGAGGTAAAAGCCCATTGACAGCAATTTATTTCCCGAAAGCAAGCGTTTGTCCAAATAAGCAGTTTGGAATAAAATACCCTTTCTAGAAGAAATGAGCTTCCATGTTCCCATTGCTTCCTTCTAGTTTTGGATATTTCAGAAACGTGGTCTCCTTGCTGGCTTCCCTGCCCTTTTCTGTTAGGAGAGCAGTGTATTTACACTGAAACCACTTCTTCTTGAAACAACACATAGCCTTAAATATTGTTGGTAATCATAATCCCATGCTGATTTCCCGAGATGCAGCATTTCCCACATTTTGCTGCATCTAAGGGACAGGGGGCCTATGGAAAAGTCCAATGGACACACTCTCTATCCCTTGCATGTTTACACTTAATGTGAGTTGGAGATTAGCTCTCAGCCTTGCACACCGTCAGTGGTCAGTACCAAGTGACAGGAGGAGGGTATATGGTTTCAGAGCCTTAGGATCTGAGAAGCCCCGCTCGCTCGAGAACAGCATAAGATGGCTTTAAAACAACGTTGCAAAGAAGAACAGAGCTAATTATTCCAGAGTTGCAGACGCTGTTTAAGGAGGACAAGATTCGCAACTCCCTAGTTATATATATTTTTTCCAAAGCAAAAAAGAGCAAATAAAATAATAAAGGCTTGCATAGGACTGTCCTCTAATGAAAGATTGAGTGACTTAATATTTATGGCCTCCAAGGAGACTCCTTAAAAGAATTTTAAAAGATCTTAGTTAACAAGTACATAAAATACTCTGTAAAAGTTTTATTTTTTTAAACAGAGTAGGGGCAGAATAATTTGCACTAATTATTAATGATAAGGTAAGAAATAACAAATGAAGCCTGAAGTTAAAGCAAGCTCGGTTCTAACAGGAAGGGATTGGGCCTAAGAGATCCACACAGCAAGATGAACCAGCCCAGGCAGATTTACTCCAGAGACCTAGTAGAACCAAACTCCTGGGCGTTCTCATGAACCAGGAGACAACCTCCCATGCCAGGCTAACAAGCTGGAAAGGCAGAACTGAGAGCTGCTGCTTGTGTATACATTTAATACTTTAAAATTCTTAGAGAAAAGCTGAAGTTCTTTTTATTCTAACAACCGTGGCAAAGGTGACTGTGTTCTGAGAGGTCTGTGTGGCTTGGTTAAGAACTTTCTTAGCTCCTGTGACATCAACCTTGAGAACACAGGGAAGAAATGAACAGATGTGCACAGGTAAAGGCAGACCCGCAGAACTGTGACGGGTCCTCCAACTCCAGGAGCTAGGTGAGGCACCACCCTGGAGCTGGGGGAGAGCAGAGGCTGTGTGCCACCCTGGAGCTGGGAGAGAGCAGAGGCTGTGTGCCCACCCTGGAGCTGGGAGAGAGGGTTCTAGGGTCATTGGTGGCGGAGAACACATGATAGAGCAGAGGGGTATCATAGCTACTGATAAGCATCTGTTCAGAGCCCAGAGAACAAGAGGAAAGGGGCCTGGGGAGATGGGCCAGTACCACCAGGGGACTCAGAAGAGACTTGGTTCCTAATTCAGGTGATATGTGATTGACTCTTAGGAGATGGGCGGAGCCTTAAGCTTTCTAGAGGAAGTACCTAAGGTGGTGGGGATGGGTTGGGGGAAGACACCCACTCCAGGGAAGACATCACAGAGAGCAAATCTAGGAACTTGTGGATCAGGTCATCATGCCAACTCCAGTAGAGCCAGAGTGTAGGTTTGAGGCAGCTCCTGGAGGGTGGGGTGTGGCAGCCTACACAACCCGAAATGACTTCACCTTAACATGAGGGCTATGGGTTCTAGTGGAGCCATGGAAGCTAGCAATCTAATGGGTCATTTAGAAAAATAAATCCATTGAAAGTGTATAGATGACCAGGAGCAGACAGACACGGAAGCAGAAGTACCTCAGCTGTAGGACTGGACTCCTGAAGATAGGAATTAATATGTGAGCCATGGAAGAGAGAGGCAGGGCAGATTTGCCAGTCTCTGACCATTAGCAGCAGGGGAGGATGTTGTTAAGGGTGGCACCAGGATTCAGCTTTGGATATTTGTGTTGGGATCACTGGAGTGGCAGGACAATGTCTGCGGTAGCTTTGGAATGCACAGAGAATGTTTGAACGAGAAGTCCACACTGAGGACAGACAGATGAAGTAAGCAGAGGGCCGGGCTAGACTAAGGGGCTAAACTACCAAGAGAAAGATGAAGGGAGAGGGTCTTAGGCACCACAGGAAGACAGGAGTTTGCATAAGAACATCATATCCTAAAGGTCCCAGAGTGGTCATGGGATGAGCGCCAAAGGATGGTGTTGAGTTTTATCTACAGGGAGAACCTAGTAATTGAGACCTTGACGAGGAGAGATTCATTTTAGCAGGAGCAGCAGACACAGAGCAGAGAGCAGAGAGAAGAATGTTATTTAGAAAAGGGAGGCAGAGCTTTGGGAGAAGAGAAGAAACTTGGTGGGATGACAGGAGAGAATGACCAGTGCCAAGATGTGTGAATGTGTGTGTGTGTGTGTGTGTGTGTGTGTGTGTGTGTGTGAGAGAGAGAGAGAGAGAGAGAGAGAGAGAGAGAGAGAGAGAGAGAGATGGGAACACAGGAGAAAACCTATATTCCTTGCACCTCAAGCCAGCCTTTGCTGCTGCTGTCTATTTCACTGCAAGTTTCCCCAGCCTCTGGATTTGAACCTGTGGACTTACCTTTGGTTTCATTCCTTTTGTTGCTCTCTGTGCTATTTTGTTTTGCTTGCTATGATTTCTCTCCTCACCCCTATGCCATCTGCTCCCACCTCAGAGCTTATTCTCTGACCTGTTTTCAGAATTCTTGCAAATATCCCCTAACAAGGGATTCCCACAGTCCTCACAGGCTTCTGCATCTCCTTCCTCTACACACCCCGAACCCAGTGCCAACTCCTTAGCTCAGTCACACAGGACTAACAGCCACCCTCCATGTCCTCATCATGGAAGGATTCCTCAGGTCTCTTGCTCAGGCTAGCTTTCCCTCGCATGGATCTCCCACACACTTCATCATGGTCTCCGTGTCTCCCGGCTGACCTTGGTGCCTCAGCTATTAGAATGATGGAGGGCAGGGTTGCTAAGAGGCCGCCTTCCCCTGGCTTCAGGTTTCTATGTGGAACAACATTCCTCAGTATGCAATCCTTGGCCTCTTTCCACACCCACATTCATTCTGTACCATGAGAGATTCAATTACCGAGCCAGCCACTCAGGAAGCAATAGTGAGGTATAGGAAGAAGACTCCTAAAAGAGACCCCCAAGATTGTCTATTCCAATAACCGGGGCAGTGAGCGAGCAAGCTGGTGTGAGCTGTCTGTGGAACACAGAATAGAGGGATTGTCGCATGTAGTTAAGGATGCTAATCAGTTGGTTTCAAGTCAGCCAGCAGAGATGATCCTAGTTGGTACAATGGAGACGGTTAAAAATGGCTGAGTTTTTCTGCCTGAGGCTGGAGTGAGCCAGCCATCGCTCTGGGAGTTGAAGAATGAGAGTGCAGTCCCGATGTCCCGAGGCTCGCTCTGGCAGCCAGCCAGCAAGGAAGCAGGGCCTGCTTTCTCTTAAGTTTGTGGAACTCCACCTGTATGACCTTGGAGGGGCATTGCCCCCTAAAACTTCAAGGTCAGGCTTAGCTTGGCCAGCCTCTTGCTGGAGAGCCCAGGGAGATTAGCATGCTGACTTACAGTATTGTAAGATAATATCTGGGTGTTTTTTAAACCGAGGGTTTTCAAGTTGTGGTTTGTCAGCAATGGACAGCTAGCACATTGAGCTTCCGTCCTCTGGATAGGCTGGAGAGACACTGCCCGTGCCTGGGTGAGTGAGTGGACCCACTTTGGGGCACCAGCAGCAGGAAGCCACACATTTTCCAAAAAGTTCTGCTAGTGGTAAGCTTCTAGTTTTGATTCTCCAAGCTTTCTCTACCATACAGTTGGTTCTGCCCCCCTTTTTTTAATCCCTACAAAGCCACTATATAATAATCTTATTCTCTTCTCTGTCATCATCAGCTTCCCCCATACACTTTTGCATGCACGCATGACCTCTGGATGTTTGGACACCTTGCCAGAGAGGTTGTCTAACTCATATTTTAATGTTTTGGCAGCACTGCACAAACTGAGTGTGCTGGGAAGCCCCACGGGCTCTCATCAACCAGCGTCTCCAAGGCAGCAGGTCTGGGGAGAGACCCAGGACCTCATTTCCAACAAGCTCCCAGTGATGTCTCTGTGACTGCTGGTCCAAGCCCTGCACACCCAGAGCTGACAAGTCTCCTGGAAGCTGTTGGGTCTCCAACCAAAGCTGTGTCCAGCACAGCCTTTTAGAATACATAGCAAATCATCTCAGATCCGGCTCTTTAAGCTTGTGTCAATGAACTGAATATTGTGTCTGCTTCAAAATTCCTCCGTTAGAGCCCTCATCCCCAGTGGGTTGGTAAGGAATGGGGCCTTCTGAAGGTGACTCGGTGAAGACCAGGTCACGAGGGTGGGACTAGTGCCCTTACATGACTTTCTCTTGCTGGGTGTAGTAGTGCACACCTTTAACCTCAGCCTTGGGAAAGCAGAGGTAGGCATATCTCTGGGAATTTGAGGCTAGCCTAGTCTACATGTTCCAGGCTAAACAGGGCTTATCTCCAAGTAAGTCTCTGTCTCTGTCTCTC